GTTATTGCCTCCAGAGCATTCCTCCTGTTATAGTAAGCAGGGGCAATGAATTGTATATACACTTCAGAGCAAGAGGCAAAGCTATAAGTAATTTAACCAGACGATTCAAAGGAAACTTTCTGTCTCATACAACAGGTACAGACATGCATTATCAGAATGGTGATTTTTTTTTTTTTTTTCATCCGACTACCACCACCACTACCATTACCAATATCACCGTAACCACTTCAATCTATTACCAAACAGTTTTTGTTTTCTTATTATTGCACCTTTATTTCTCCTCAGCATGTAATGAATCTATTGGTCTGCAGGACGGAAGGGTGAAAAATTCGCAGCTTTCTGCCTCCTCGTACTACACTCTAAAACTCGGCCACGGACAGTTGTATTTGTATCCTCAGTATGGACGAATAGAAGGTTTATATTTTTGGTGTAGTCAGGTGAGAGGCCACCACCTTCACTTTCCAAATACATATGGTTTATTTAGACACGGTAAATCATAAGTTTAAAAAAGGTAAAGCAAGGTAAAATAATAAAAAGACAATAACCTTAGATACATAAGTAATTGGTTTACACGATTGCCGTACGGGAAACTGACCGAAAATCAAAAAGCTTACCGGTTTTTATTCCTTGAGCGAGTTTATGCTTCGTCTATTTTGCGATAAGTCCGTTCCAGATCTTGGCACCCGGCTATAAGAGAAACTTCCCTTCAAGTAATCACTACCTATTTTTGGAAGAAAAAGCTTGAAATCAGCGTTTCTTAAATTACACAAAGTGTGGCAGGATATAAAGAGATTCTGCAAGTATAAAGGGCACGCCCACCGAGGACCTCAAACACAGTTAACATACATTGCTTTCTGCTTTTTGTGACGCACTCCAAGGGCCGTCCAGTACTTTGTTGTTGTTATGAATAGTGTCTTGTCAATACAAAGGCTGTCAAAACTAAAAAAAAGATATGTAATTTATGTCGTTTCCTTTTTTTGCAGTTGCAACAGTCAAAGAACACTGTCAGAGAATACTTTCAAATCGACCTCCTGAACTTGACGGAAGTGACAGCCATTGCTACACAAGTACGTAGTAACGAAAATGACATAAAATTACATTTCTAATAGAGCGGTTTTCATTTGAGTGTCGAAAAGTAATTGGTTTTGCACTTTCTACACGATGCGATTGGCTTAAAAGATTCGCGCCACCTTTTCATCCAATCAGAAGTAAAACCAAAGCCAATTGTGACGCACTCGCATGCATTTTCCCGCGCTTTGCGTCAGCCACATGTAATTACTTCGAGTTTTGATTGGTTCAACGTATTGTCTGTGTCCTATGTGATTGGCCAGAGTAATTACTTTGGTTTTGGTTTTACGACACTCAAACGAAAACCACTCTAGTTAATGAATACATTTCTTTAGGAAGTGTGAACAAGTCTAAGGCCTCTATTCAGATACCTCTCTCATCCCCTAGTGAGGGCTACACTTCCTTATAACTTGTTTCTGAATGTTATTTCGAGTGTGATGGAGGCTTCTCACACCAAAAGCATGCTATGTCAGCCTCCATCTCACTGCAAAAAAGGGTTCATGTAATGGCAATCAGGTCCCCTATCACTGCACGTGAATTGAGAAAGGTGAGGGCTCACAGTCTATTATTTAAAATGTCATCCTTTCTTACTACTATTTCTACTTATTATTACTTATAATATTCCGTATCATTCGTAGTGACGTGACGTCTTTAATAATGCCATATCAATATATAGGCTTAGACGAAACAGTCATTGATGTCGAATGAAGTGAAGAAAGAGAGTCCCTTTCTCCCCTCTTTTAGGGTCACCACTTGCAGGGCTCAAGTTACTGGGGATACGTGTCAAGTTATGAAGTTCAGTTCAATTACAACAGAAACCAATGGTTCACATACAATGCTGAAAACAGCAGCAGACTGGGATTTACTGTAAGTTGGCTATCCCACATTTGTTTGGCTTTCTTTCTTACGCATGCCTTAACACTTGAAAAGGACTTTCAATTTAAGAACGTGCACTTCTCAAGTAAAGAGTATGCCTCTTCTCAGAGTCTCTTCTAAAAACCTTCACTAACCGTAATAGACCGTAATAGTTGAAATTTATACTCAGTATCAGACCAGTATGGCACCCTTTTGTGGGCCGCCGGAGCAGATGGCTTTATGGCTTAAAAGGAGAGTGTCTCCTGGGGAACTGAAATTTACCAGAATCCTGCTCAGGTGCGAGCAATTTTGATAACCAAGACAGAAGTACTCATGCGTGGTTTGATCATAGCCTGTTCGACACTGATTGAGAGCCTGGCTAATTTGATCAAGGTGTTAAAAGAACTTCTTTCTCATTTTAATTAACAATACTTACCTATCTTCAATATCAGGAATTTAAGGGGAACACAGACGTCGAAGGAATAGTTATGAACGCTTTCAAGTCTCCCATTTTGGCCAAAAGGATTCGAATTGTCCCGACTGGTTACCAAAGCCACCCAGTCCAACTCATGTGTCTACGGGCTGAACTATATGGCTGTAGGTATGATCTAGGTAAGGTAATAAAGCAATACTCCATCTGGCGATCAGTTCAAGAATTGTATCCTCAACTGAATAAACAGCAAATATTAAAAGTCAGGTTTCTTTCGTGGAATATTATCAAAGAATGAGAATTGGTGTACCTTTTGAATGCTTAAATATAATTTTCCAGTATTTTTATTTTTTAGGATGTGGGAGTGTCTTGTCGTTGGACAAACCGGGTAAAATAACTGTCCGCGGATCAGATAAAAGACTTAAAATCTGCCGTTGGTTAGCTACACCCAAATCTCCAGCCGTATCCAATAACATCATTTCCTTTCATTTTACCTACTTTGATGTTCCATGTCGCCATGGTCACGTGATACTAAATGCCAGAAATGGAGGCAAAAAGATGACGTTTTGCGGTGCTGATCCTCCACCAGTCACCAGTCTTCCAGCGTCCAGTCAGATAACGCTAGAAGTTAAACTTGACAAAGGCTCTAATGTTTGGGGAATTGACCTCTTCTACAAGACTGATTTTTTAGGTAATTTAAGAACTGATACCTTACAAAATTCCCTGATATTTTCCAAGTGCATGCATGTTTTTATCATCATCAACTGAGTTCACTAATTCTCTATTATTATAATTTACAAGTAATCCAGAAGACCATCACATTTTATCCAAAATAGGCATACAAACAAAATTTATTTATTTTACTATTTATTTATTTATACATTAATTTTGCATTAATTTTGCAGGCTGTGGTAGAGTCTTGGATGTGTCCAAAAGCGGTACTTTGTCGTCACCAGGTTACCCTCTGTCACATGGACACAACCAACACTGCACGTGGATCTTCAATGCTCATCCGGGATCTAAGCTAACTGTATCGTTTATGGAATTTAATCTGCAAGCCTCAAATGGTACACATTGCGCTGATTTTGTCCAGATTCTAGATGGCTCAGAAGGTAAGCAATGATTTGGCTCAGACTGGAGTATTTTTACTGTGTAGTTGTAAGGAGAGAAGAGATTCTCAATACTACCTGCTAAACTATAGAGCTATTCCTCTGGATAGCCGAAAGCTGCAAAGGGTGCACCTTGAAACTTGTGGTGAAATCTGCTCATCAGTTAAATTCTAGCTTGCTAATTTTTTACGATGGCTCAGGAGGAATTCTTGTTTAGTTATGTGATGTTTGGTTTGCAGATTCTTCAGCGGACTTGGGAAAGTTTTGTGGCGATTCTGTTCCAGGACAGGTGACCTCATCTTTCAATAAAATGCGCATTACATTCCACAGTGATAACACAAGTGCAACAAAAGGGTTTTTGCTCTGGTACGGTGTTGTCTCACCCAAACAATACAGCGAATTGCCTACTCCACAAGATGGTGAGTGGGGCGTTTTTGTTTAATACTTTACCTTTGCTTCAACTGTAATACAATGTATGCATCTTTGTTAAGCTGACCCCATCCTTAGTGGACACCCTGAATTAACCGGACTCAAGCACCAATAATCACTGTACTGCGCACCCATATTTCCTGTAAAAAGAACCTCAGTTCAACAGATGGTTCCCATTAGGTAACGTACACTTCATGTTGCCCTCTGCCTCCAAACTTGAAAGTTCCAATAAAGATTAACAGTAGGATTTAACATATCGTTTTATCTTATAGAGCAAACACAGATGACACAACATCAAAGAAAGACCAATCGCCCGTTGTCACCAACCACAGCATATCTGGAAAGTCGAAGTACTGCGTCTACTATCGGCGTTATGACCTCTTTATTTAGTCACGTTATTTTGTTAGCTGTTTTAACTCGATTTCCTCTGTTTATGTGAATGAGTTTTAAAAACTGACATTTTTCTGCGACAAATTAGAGTATTCCTCAAAATTTTTTACGGAAACTGTTCTTTGTGACCGATGCTCTATCAGAGCAAATATGCATCGCCTACCATGCACCTTCATACCTGTCCTCCATGTACCCGACGTTGAAGATATATTCAGCTGTTGATGTTCAAGTCCCCTGTTACAAGCCAAGATGCCCAAAAAGATCTTAGCAAATTAAATGCAAGCGCCATAGAGAAAGATTTACGTACCAAAATTAATATTGTTTGTTCAGGTTTGTTTGTTTGTTTTGTGTTTTTGAGTGTTTTAACTTTTCAGGATAAACTAAATTTATTCAACTATAATTAATCCAGAGATTTTTGGTAAGAAAGCTTGTCCAACGCTTTTCCCAGGCTTGCACTGATAAGTACACCATTCCATGCCATTCTTAAGTGAGTTTTTCTCATTCATCTTCGTACGAGTCAAATTTGAGCACTTCTGTAACAGAAAATTGTCGTTTTATGCAATATATCAAGCATGAGACGCAGTGTTTTATCACCAGATGAAACACTGAGAAGAGAATTGAAAATACGACGCGCAGCGCAGTATTTTTGACGAACTTCGAGGTGTTTCATCTGGTAATGAAACACTGTCTCGAATGCGTGATATTACTTATCAAACAAAATGATTTTAGAAGGAGAAAGGTTGCAAAAATGAGCATTTTTTCATCTGATTTCCAAACACTCATTATAAACATTAATTTCCTTTGTATTTTCTTAAGGAATTATTAATGCCTTTGAGAACCTAAGAGGCGATGGGCTAACCCAGATCTTCTTACCTCGATATACCGAAGGGCCAAGAGACTGGCAAAATTAAGTTTCGATATATCGAGGTTCTTTTACATCTATCCTACTATTACTGAGGTAAAGAAATCTGTTCGATATACCGAGGAATACGTTATATAGAGGTTCTTTATATCGACCAAACCAGTGACTTGATATCAGAGACGGATAATTTTCTTTTTTCATGACTTAATTTAACACACTGGACTGCCTGTAAGTGTTATTGATCGTATCTGAGCCGCAAGGAATGTATTTGGGAAATCGTTATTGACTCAGTGATTGTACTTTATGATTTATATAATCCTTAATGTTGTATTAATTCTTACTTCAAATATTTCTGTCAACTATGTACATATTTTCAAAATTGAAAAAAAATCGTTGTTTTAACAATATCAATAAAATTCATCACAATTTTAATGATGTTTACGTCAAGCTAATTAATTTAACCTCCAAGCCTAGCCTGAATTTCAGCCTTATTCACCAGTCGCAAATTTTTCAGGCTATTCCAAAATTGTCACGTGCAGTTATCATGAAAACCAATGCAGAAAACGCGAGGGGGCTGGGGTGAGACCCCCCCCCCCCCACCTTCCCCAGATCACTCGCGTCTTATTTATTTTCACCTCCCTACTATCCGAGAGCCTAGTGCAGGCTAGCGGCACAACGGGATCCGCCCCGTGCAAGTGGACGCAACATTGTTGGGAGTTGTTGCGACAGTTTGCAGGTAGCTAAGTTTTACCGGTTTCAAACTTAGCGATACACTGAACTCCAAACAACACGCTACAACATGCAACAGGAAGACCAAACAGAAGCAACATTTAACATCCAACAATGTTGCGACCGTTTACACGGGGGTTTAGGTGAGAATAGGTTAAACATGTGACAAATAAGGTCACAAAAAAACAGAATGAATCTTCTCCAGTTTATTTAAATGAAAGACGAAAACTCAAATCGCCTCTAATAGAACTGTGAACCTTATACACAATACGGCAACCAAAAGTGAAACGATTGTCTCCCTTAACAAAACAATTACGGCGAATTTGAGGCTAACAGCAGCAGGTTTCTTCCTCAATATGTCAATTTAGAGAAAGAGATTGTTTTGACAAAAGAAGCAACCTTGTTCAAGCTATTTATTCAACGGCTGAACTAGAACCTGTTTTTCCATCAAAAGCTAATTCCGAGACTTTTCCGTCACCTGTCAGTGAAGTAATTTGGTGCTCAAAAGCAAAGAAAAAGGGAAATTAACGTTAAATTCCGAAAATTTTTAATGCTTAACGTACTGTTTTAAACTTCCATTTAAGAAATGGATGGCAATATTTTGTCCTCAATGAACGCTTTACAAAGAAAAAGCGATAAAACAAAAGTTAGATAATGTTTTTCTACTGTGGCGACAGCTTTCTGATAAGTCATACGATCAGCTCTCAACAAAAAAGCATTCTCATTTCTCAACGAAGCCTCCAGCTCACCAATTAATCTTAAAACAAATTACTTCCACTACAAAACATTAGTATCCCGTAATTCAAATAGAAAATAGCTTTCTTTAGGCTTTACTCTCTTATAATCCCTTAATAGCATTTAAATTCTGGAGAAGTAAAAATAATCTCAACGTTACACCAATAAGACTTCAAAAGCGAGGTACTTTTTAAATCTTAATGCAACTATTGACGTAGACCACTATTGACAAAAATAACTTTCCTACAATGTACCATAAGTAGGTGTAACATCTAAATTACATTAATTTTGTTCTAAATTTAATGCTGGTCAAATCTTTGATGCACTAAGAAGCGGATGGCTTTTGCATACCACGTATTATACTATTTTGTTAACTGTCTGTGCAGTAATTTCTTTACAGAAGGTATTCTACAATTCCTTGAGGCAGATTGTTTTCTCTGTGTACAAAACCATTTATACGAGATACCATCATCACAGTTTCAATAACTGAGCGCGCAATACAATAGTACCTCCCGTTTTTTCTTTTTAATATAAAACTAACAAAGCGCTTCTCTTAATTATCCTTACAGAGCTCCTTCTTAATTCACTACAAACAACAAAATAATCTGTTTTACCCACTACATGCTACCGGTGTGGCATTTGTGGGTGAGGAGCCGTTTGCACTACAAATTGCTGACCAGGTACACTCGCGGCCGGAACAAATTGTTGTGGCATTCTCACAACATACTGTCCACTAGAGTTTGAGCCTGAATTAACCGTCCCTGGCCCTGCAGGCCACGGTGGCGGGGGCTCTGTAACAGAGGACCACTGATGTTCCTCCATATTTGGTGCCCACTGCACATTATCAGGCCCACTGGGCCAAGGTCCATTCATTACAGCACCACCATAACTTGTCACAGGCACTTGAACACCCTGTGGAGCCTGCAAGTTTGGGAAACTAGGATTTCTAGCCCCTGTAAAAGTGCCCATGGGTTGCTGAGGAACGGCAGTTTGAACAACAACCTGGGGACCATTTCTTGCTGGTACAGGGTTCGTCACAGTTTGTATCTGTTGGTTCACCTTAATTTGATTCAAACTTAATTTTGTTTCCATCTTGCCAGTAGGTGGCTGACCAGATTGTCTTGTTTGTACCACAGAAGAAGAAGGCTTTTTCTTGATTTTGCTCTCAAACTGTGCTAACTGTTCAATTTCTTTATCAATTCCAGAGAAAGACTTCTTTGAAGTGTTTGATTCAGAGCTACATCCATTACTTTTGGCGTGATCCACTGCTTGTAGTTCAGTCTCATCTGTACTGCTCTTGTGTCGTGATATAACCTGTCCCCCTGCTGTGCCCTGTTGCTGTTCCTTTAATTTTTCTTTTTTCATTTGGGCCTGATAAGCGTCTTTTCGCTGTTGTTGCTGTTGCTGCGCTCGTTGTTGTTGTTGCCGTTGCTTTTTACTTTCCACCTTTTTCTTGAATTGCACTAGTTCCTTTTCATGTCTCTTTTCTAAGTCCTCCATCTCTTTGCGTTGTCTGAAAAAAATGCAAGAAAAACCAGAGTTAAAAGCTAAAACAAATAAAGGTAGTGACGCAAGCATGAGTGGAGGGATCAAAGAAGAAAGAAAAATAGAAAACCTAATAATACAGCAGACAGTTTTCCTAAAATAGAGGGCAGGATGACCAGAAGGGCCTAACTTTGTGTGGTTTTTAGACATAATTACCAAACCTAATTTACTCAAATAAGAATTATTTTCACAAACCAATAATATGCAAGAGGTTTTCACAGACTGCCCGAAATGCAGCCCTAACCTTCCAACTCTAGTCGTTTGTGACACAAGGTTCACGCTTCCCTGACAGTAGGCAGTAAACCCTCCCTTGTCAAGTGTCAAATAGAAACCTCATAAGTCCTCTATTTAACCCCCCAAGGGAGGGGGGGAGGACTTATTTAATTTAGCACAGACGATGGTATCATATCTCCATAAAGAACTAGAATGCAAAGTGAAAAAGCTTAAGTACAAGAAGTTGGAGGTCATGCAGCTGGTGTATAAATCCTACTGGTTCAGTCTACACAAAGGTCTACAGTCATGATTGATTGATACAGTCTCTCATTTATTAGTGAATAATAGTAAGGGGGAGGGGAGGGGGCTTAAAAGAGGATTTACGGTAAGTTGTGTCAAAGACCAGTAAAAACATTTTCAGATCTATTAAACAGTGGGTAGCAAGTCCATAAGACTGTGTTTACAGGAGCATTCTTTTCTGGTTGTTGAGTGATAGTAATACACTACCTAACAACATGCTAAAAATCCTCTATAAAGCC